TTACTATCACTATTCATTTTCATTAATTCCTCTTCGTCCTCCTCTAGATATTCGACTTTTCCCAAGAACCAGTCTTCTGTTTTTTTATCCTTAGTCTTATTCCTATCTTCCCTACTTTCATGCTCCATTTTTCCTAAATCATTATCTATCAGTTGATTATCTTTATCTGTATCCATCCTCCCGCCATATTGGCAGGAGATTGAATTCCCCTCCTCCACCTCACCAGCTTCACCGGGAAGTCCCTTAATAAAGATTTTTCTCCTCTTTTTTGATTACTACTAATTGTATTATTACCTTTTTTTCAACCTTATGGTCCGAAATGACTTTACGCAGGATTGGTGCTATGTATATTTTATTAGAAGTGAAGTCTAAGACGTCTGGGTTCTGACTGCCTCGTCCAAGGGACGAAAACTTAGGCCCACTTGAGGGTGCGTGCTCGTGACCGTCCCCTGGGCGAGCCGAGTCACCGTGTTTATTGTCCTGTCTCTGCAGGTCTGGACAATCTCCGAAGGCCCAAAGTGTCGTAAACTTAGCCTACAGTTCGGCCATTCCTGACGGCAGTGACCGTCCTCGGTCACATGCACGCAATTTGTCAAACATCCGTCGACCAAATGTTCACAGCTTATAAAATAGAATACAAAACTTAAAGTAAAATTTGTGAATTTTGTAACGCACGAAATACAATATATAAGTATAAAATAATACACTCACATGTGTATAAAAACGAAGAAAACATACCGAAATAGCGCAAAAATATATGGCATAATGATACAGGCTTATACTAATACGCATCAAATACATGTATCAACATTCTTAAACTAAATATATATATTCGAAATGTATGTACTTTTACAAATACAAGAGTAAATCTAAGGCTTATTTCGTATTCCAAATGCAGAATGTGCGAATAGAAGAATTTAAAAGGGTAGTTTAATTATTCGTTGTCTGATTGGATCCAAAACTTCATTTGATCGGGTCCTACAATTCCTGTGAATGGTACACGTGTTAATTGAAATCCTTCTATGTCGGTAACAACATATCTATCTCGATCTAAAACTTTTTTAATAATATAAGGGCCGTTAAATTTAGGTATTAATTTTTTGTTTACTCCTGGGGTAACGTCTACATTGCAAATCATAACATAATCGCCGACTTGGTAGGCTGTGGCCTCCTTATGTTTCCTATTATACATGCGTTCGTTCGCTTGCTGGCATTTATTAATTTTCTCTGCCGCTTCCTGACGTACGGTAGAAAGATCTCTAATATCTTCGCAATTCGTTTCTAAAATTAACCGTAAATTATCCGTTACGGTACCCAATTGATTCATTCCGAACAGCAATTCGGACGGGGTTTTCCCTGTTGACCGACAGATTGTATTATTTAAAGCGAATTCTACCGACCCTAAAACACGGTCCCATTTTTGGGGTGTCGCTGAAAGTTTTGCTAGCATCGGTGCTATGACCCTATTGAAGCGCTCTACCTGCCCGTCCGCCCAAGGAGTTCCAGTCGCAACTAATATCTGTTCAATTGAATTTATGGCTAAAAATTCTTTGAAAAAGCTAGATGTAAAGCAAGTGCCTCGGTCGCTAACCAATCGCCTAGGTTTACTGTACATTCTAAAATATTCATTCAGGTTCTTAATAACTTCCTCCGTTTTCGTTGTTTTGCAAGGGTAGAGTTTTATAAATTTTGTAAATCCGTCTATTACTGACAAAATAAACTTGTATCCTCTTCCGCACTTTTCAAGGGGACCATAGTGGTCGATGTGAATAGTTTGGAAGGGCAAATTACCTTTTTCTAAGCTGTGTACGTATCCTTCGGTTTTACCGCTAAAGGGGGAGAATTCTACGCACTTCAAACAATTACCGATATATTCTTTTACTTTTTGCCGAATTTGTGGAAACCAGTAAATTCTGCTAATGTGTTCGACAACTTTGTCGACTCCTAAGTGGCCCAAGTCATCGTGACAAGTTCTAATTACATTGTTTTCCAAGCATGCCGGTACGTAAAACAATAACTTACTATTTTTTATTTTCCTATACACTAACCCGTCCCTTAATTCATAAAATCTGTTTTCGCTAGTTTATAATTGGTCTCGAAGTTCGTGAATTTTGTCGTCTTGGCACTGTTTGATTGATAATGTTTGCTCAAATGTGTTCGGTTCTAAAATGAGTATTGAATGGTAACGACTCAACGCATCTACGTGTGATATTTTGCTTCCGCTTCGATGTTATATTTCATAGTCATAGTTTTGCAGGAACATCGCCCAACGCGAGATTCGCGGGTTGATGTTCTGTTTACTTAAGGTCAGTCTAAAGCTGTCGCAGTCTGTGATAATTTTAAATGGTATGCCTAATAAATAAATGTGGCATCTTTTAATCGCATATACCACCGCTAAACATTCTAATTCAAAACTATGGTATTTTCCTTCCTGGACCGTCGTTCTCTTACTAAAATAGGAAACTGGTCGAAAAACACCATTTTGTTGCTTTTGCAATAAAATCGCACCGAACCCAGTGCTACTTGCGTCGCAGTGGAGCTCGGTCTTTAATTTTGGCGAATAGATTGCTAAAATCGGTTCGTTTGTAAGACATTGTTTTAATCTATTGAATGCTTGATTTTCTTCCGGCCCAAAGCGAAAAATGGCATTCTTCCGCAGTATATTGTATAGAGATCTTGCAATAATTGAAAAATTTTTTACGAACCGTCGAAAATAGCTCGCTAACCCTACGAAGCGTTGCACTTCTTTAACATTTCTAGGGACCGGATAATCGACGACAGATTTTATGTTTTCCTTCGCGGGTGCGATGCTGTTATCGGTTATTAAATATCCTAAATACGTTATTTGTCGATACAAAAAGGAACACTTGTCTAATCTAAATTTGTAAGCGTTAGGCCTTGCTTAGTTGTTTCTACGTCGCAGAGGCACGGCTAGGGTGTTTGTGTGGATTTTTGATGGACTTCGGAGGAGATTCTCGGCTACAAGAGAGAGAATAGGTTCTGCAAAGAGCCTGGTCCGCGAAGGTCCGGCTGCTTCACTAGGAAGGTTTTAGCGTGGTAGAATCAGAGAGCCTGGTCCGCGAAGGTCCGGCTGTTCTAAGGAAAGGTTTTTGGTGTGGTGGAGAGCCTGGTCCGCTGAGGTCCGGCTGCTCCGAGGAAGGTCTGGCTACGGAGGTTTCCAAAAGCCTAACTGACTTCTTGGGTAGTTTTGGCCGGTATTTATACTAATTCTAAAAGCTAGCTCCGTCCAATCAGGGGTGCGTATGATCGAGCACGAGGGCTTTTTATGACCGTACCTGCGAGTGCTCGGCGCGCGGTGGACGCAATATTCGTACGGTTTACTTAGCTACACTTAATTATATTTTAAACGTATTCGCGCTACAAATTGTAGATTGTATCGACTCGCTAATTCGAATACCTCTCGCAAAATTTCGAAATGTTCTTTAACGTTTTTTATGGCCACCAAAATGTCGTCAAGATACAGTAGTAACTTGTTTTGTCTAACTAGCTCGCTAAAAATTTCCTGCAAAAATCTTTGAAACGTACGGGGCGCGTTTGTTAATCCGAACGGCATTCTTACGTATTCGAACTGCCCTAACGCTGTTATGAAGGATGTATACTTAATGCATGTTTCAGCAACTTTCACATGATGGAACGCGTTTTTAAAATCTAATTTTGTAAAATACTGTTTATCTCGTAACTGGTCTAAACAATCGTCAATTAGCGGTATCGGAAAATTTTCTTTCACTGTAATGCTATTTAATTCGCGATAATCTATGCATAATCGAATTTCACCGTTCTTTTTCCGAACCGTTCACGGTTCCGACTACCATCTCTCCGAGGAGACAATACCGCCGCTAGGAAAGACGGAGAGATGGTAGTCGGAATGGTCCCATCTTACTTGAAGGAGCAGCGTTGGAAGAGGACCCAAACATGTGTTTCAGGAGTGGATTCCCCTACTTGGACAGGCCTGCCCTAGGCGAACCGAGCCGCCCGACGAGGAAACCGTGTAATATGATCCGACCGTAATATCGGTGTGACTAATACTAATTGAACGATAAAACTTTCTTATTTTTAACTTTTTCTTAATGAAACTTTTACTAACGCATTTGTGAGATTTTTCTGATTAAAATGACACCAAACACGATATAGTTTGAATTATATTTATAAACAATAGTAATAGAATAAACAACATAGAATTGACACCACGACTGAATATAAATGATGTGTACGGACGCAGAATCGACACCTCGCTTGGATAAATGCAACCACTGACGTGAGTCCCAATCTCGGTTGCATTTATCCAGGTTTTACTGTATGTATATAGAAACAGTAGAGAATCGGCGACTCCATGCTGACTCATACACCGCCAGAAACACGTAGGCATACCTAAAATTCAATGTAGTAGTAACAATAGTTTTTCACGAATATCTCGGAAACTAAAGCTTTCCGTTAATTATGCATAATGAAAAGGTTGTTCAGAATCATACCCCCGATAACATATTAAAGGGTCATTGAAATCGTCCTATGTCGAGATTAAAAACTTCCTGTATTTTACAATAATAATGAAAAAATGAAAACTTTTTTTTAATGGGACCAACCGGAAGCCATACCCTAATAAAAAAATTAAAACAAAAAAAAATATATATATATCTATCTATACTGATCGAATTGAGTAACCTCCGACTTTTCGAAGTCGGTTAAAAAAATAAACTATTTATTCAAATACAGTAATGTCTCTCACATTGCCCATACTGACGCCTCACATTGCCCCTACGCTGTTTCTACGCTTATGTATACGTCGCTTCTGCGCCTATGTTTACTCGATGGAAGTCAGTCAAGCGTGTGATGTATGTAATGTGACGCGGTCCTTTTGATGAAAGTTCCAGTCTTTGTAATTTATAATAAAGGAATAGAACTTTTTTAATTTCACTTATTTAAGACTTAGATTCGAAATTACTAATGTATATGTACATATGTTGTCCCTTACTTTTTATTCATTATTCTTTGTTTAAGAAAAATATCTTCAGGCTCTGTACCGCATATTGTATATGTAGTGGTGCTCTGTCACTATGAACACTTAAGCGACTAAATATGTCGCGTAAATCGTCAATTGTATCGTTGTCCTCCTCGAACATCGTTTCGGGTGGTTCCTCCTGGGGTTCGTTTAAAACATCTTCATGTTTCTCCTGGTCTGCACTTTTATCTTCTAATTTCTGGCAGGTGGATAAAAAATCTGCAACCTGTTGTTCTGAACAGTCTTCTCCCGTAATGGCACTTATCATGTCCTGCCAATCAGATTCTAATGGTGGAGGTTGGACAGCAGCAACAGGTCCAAGAATTTGATTCCACGCATTTCTTAAATTTGTTTGCGTTATTGCTGACCATGCTTGAGTAAAAATATCAATACAATTTTTTAAAGTATATTCTTTATAAAATTCTTGTACTCCACCATCATATGTTAACACGCGTTGGAGTAGTTTATGGCGGAAAGCTCGTTTAGTTTTTTCTATAACTCCCTGATCCATTGGTTGGATCAAGGATGTTGTATTGGGTGGTAAAAATATTATTTCAAACTTCTCGTCTTTTAAATTTTCTGCTGGTAATTTATGCGCTTCGCAATTGTCAACAAATAATATGACCTTTCCTGTTATACCTCGTTCCTCTTGAAATTGGTTTACGGAGGGCTTAAAATGATTTTCAAACCAATCTGAAAATAATGATCTGCTCATCCACGCATTGGGTTGTGATTTGAAAATCACGGGCAAAGAGACCTCGTGTCTTAAAGCCCTTGGGTTTTTATATTTATAGATTACAAGCGGCATCATTTTGTGTGTGCCCAGTGCATTTGCACATAGTGCAATTGTAATCCTATCTTTTATAATTTTATATCCGCTGATACGGCTTTCTTCCTCTCCTGCCAACGTTTTCGTTGGTAGCGCCTTCTATACCAATGCACTTTCGTCCATGTTGTATACGTTCTCCAAATTTATATCGTCATCGTTCATTAGTTGTTTAAAATTGTTTATAAATGTTGTTGCTCCATCTTTGTCAGCACTCGCCTTCTCTCCATACAAGCGTACCAAATGTATGCCATGACGTTTTTTGAATTTCGATAGCCATCCACGGCTTAGTTCGAAACGCGAACATGATGGCAAATTTTCTTTTAAATCACTGGCTTTCTCCAATAGCAACGCGTCCGTTAAACGATCGCCAATGGTCCTCCGTTCAATAAACCATGCTAAAAGGCATTTGTCCAATTCATCGTATACCGGATCTATTAATTTCCGTCGCTGTCTTTCACGCTTAGTTTTATCTGCAAAACTACTAATTTGTATTCTATTCTTCTTAATTCGACGAATTGTTTTGGCGTCGACACCATACTTTTTTCCAATTTCCGATACTGTGAGTCCCGTATCTTGCAGATCTTTTAAAACGTCCAAGCGTTGTTGCATATTCAAAACTGTATATTTCTTTCTAGTTGCCATGATGTTCACACAAAACTATTGCTAATATCTTATCACCGAAATATCACTACTGTCACAAAAGTGTACCAATACAACTAAATTAACACTAATTTGTCACTAAAGTGTACCAATACAACTAAAATATCACTTGCTGTGAAACACTTTAACTGCACGAACTGCTCACGATAAATTGCGGCGACTATACGAGGATTCTTTGGTGATTTTCTTAATTCTGCTGAGTTTCCGTAAAATCGCTCTCCACGAAAACTTTAAAAAGGTAGGGGGATGGGTATGTTGTTGGGGGTAAACACGCAGATTGGTAAATTTGGAATTCCTACGAACTAGAGAGGTGGTGAAAAAAGAAGTAATTGCCTACAAAAAATGTGGTAGGGGTTGAAGAAAATTTACCCTTATCCTCCGGTTACCTTCAGGTAACGGTCAAGGTGCAGTGTCCGGTGCGAAGTCGAAGGTTGCTGGGTCATAAAGTCATAAATCGCACTGGTCGAGGAAAAATATTCTAGCTTATAGAAAATATTCCTTGCTATTTTACTCATCTGGGATGCAGCTGAAAGAGAGTTAGCACGTGACTAAGGGACAATATTAAAAGTACACTACGGGCCTCCTTTGCACGGTAGATGCGCGCCGTGTAAAAAGGATCGTGTAAAATTTATGAGAGAAAGTATGCACATCCTTTATTTTCAGGATGGTTTTTAGGGTCGTAGCGCTTCTTCAGTTTATGTATTGCCCATTATGGTCAATGAGGGGTACCCCCTATATATATTCAAAAATGATAGGAAAGTTGTTAACAATAAAAAAAGGCATTGGAATAGTCGCTAAGACTCCAAAAATGTCAGACTGCTTGCCTTTTCTAACATTCCCATACCTCCTTTTAAACAGGCAATCGTATATCACCTGATAGCTGCATGACTTCGGGTCACCAGCCATCGACCCTAAAACGTAGGCTGTACCACCACATTGCCCCTGAAACGTAGGCTGTACCACCGCATTGCCCCTGAAACGTAGGCTGTACCCCCGCATTGTCCCTAAAACATTGGCTGTACCACCACATTGCCCCTGAAACGTAGACTGTACCACCGCATTGTCCCTAGAACGTAGGCTGTACCACCGCATTGTCCCTCGAATGTAAGCTTTTTCCACATTATCCAGACACAAGTTACGTATTCAACAGATAATGTGTACAAATATTTTGTGTATTTTTTCTAGAAATCCGCTTTTGTAATTCGTTTAAAGCGATGATGAAATGAATTACCTAATAGATATTAATAAGTAAACGTGTTCCAAATTATATTGTGTTTGATCTCATTTTAATCGCAAAAATCTCACCAATATGATAAAAGTAATTGCATATTGAAAAAGTTAAAAATAAAAAAGTTTATATGTAGTACTGGTTTTTAAATCTTTCATTTGCCCGACTCTAATTCTATCTTTCTCTTTTATTCGCTGTCCTTTTCTTTGTTCGGCAAACTACAAAGGCGAGCTGCGAGGCTGGAAAAACGATTCTAGTCTTCCCAAGTTGCCCACTTTCGATTCCTACCTAACGGGCAATGTGAGAGAGATTACTGTATTTGTTTTATATATGATAAATATATTATTATATTTAATAGTTTTATTTTTTTGAATGTGCATCCATTACAAGGATTATTTAGAATCTATATACAAATCTTCTGTTAACAGCTTATATCTAATTTACGTTTACATAACTTTATTAACTTATGCATTACTATACATTGAGATCAGTATTGCATACATTCTATATATACATATAAATAAACATATAAGTGAAACTTATTGCTACTGTTGCATGTCCGTTCGCGGAAGATAGGGAAATTTGGGGAATTAAGGCGCAGGTGTGACAATCCGTGGAGCGCGGAGGCGCTCTGCTCGCAACGCGCGGATGTGAAAATAACCTTATTATCGCTATAATTATTATCGCTTACTGTACTTTAATATTTTAAAGTTTTATTTAGGCTGACTTTGTAACTTGTTTTTACAATGCGATAAATTTAGCGCGTGAGAAGAACTTGTCTATTTAGACTGACAAAATCATTCTAACGATTCTGCGCTTGGCGGAGGAGATCTTCGCGCGTTGTCGGTCGATGCCCCTTCCTTGGTGGATCCTGGATCCTCCCTCAGGATCATCCCTCGTGCAATGGTGGAGGCGTCCACTCCGTCCTGCGTAGGCCCCTTCTCCTGGCCCTGCTCCACCCTCAGGCGCGTGGAATTGGAGGCGCTCCGCCAAGACGCTAGAACGTTGCAGCGCACATGTGCTACGAGAAAGCGTGGGACCCAGAGAAATTAGGAAACGACAAGACCTTGTACTTGCCAAAGCAACTCTCGAGGAAATTCACGACCCCCCTAGAGTGCATGAAAAGACAGGATATCGAAAAAGACTTCGTAGCTTTTAAGGACCGTTCGTGACTTGGTCGAAAACAACGAATTGGCTATGGTCTATCATAAATTAGTCTTTTAGGAATTTTCGAAGTGAAACTATTCCATTCTCTGGATTTCCGGCCTTCTCTCAGCTCGATCGCCCACGTCGAGGGTTTACAATGTAATCTTTATCTATTTATACAGGAAGATTCTCTCGACGTGCAACACAATAGCCGCCCCGCACAATGGAACCCTGCTGTGTTTGCGGGGCGGCTATTCGCGCCGAGAAAATCTCCCTATATAAGTGTACGCGCTGATGATATTTGAATTTCGCTCTTAATTTATGACCGTCGATACAAAAGGTCCTCGAAGAACATTCAAGACATATCGATACAATAGACTATCGATAAATATTCCCATGGCAGTGTTGCCATAACACTCTAAACATATTCACGTGATAACATTTCACGTTACACTTGTTGCGAACCTCGCCTGTATGTATGTGTGCAATATCGTGTGAATTTAGCTGCAAGCTTGTAATCACAAGCATTGAATGAAATGTAATATGGCGACGATGCCATAAGAGTATGGTTGCAGTATGTCTGCATTATGTTATATCAATGCTCATAAATTAGGAGCCAAAATTCAGAAGTAATAAACAAACAAAAGATAGGACATTGTAAATCGTTCAGCGCGGGTGGTCGTGCTGGGAGAGAGTTGGAAATCCGGAGAAATAAGACTGTCACGCTTGAAGTTTCTAAGAAACTAATTTATTGCGGGCCGTATCTAATTCGTTACTCTTAACGAAAATCATGTTGATTCTTGAAACTGTCGAAATCTCTTCGACATCTTGCTTATTTACAGAGGGTCGTAAATTTTCTTAAGGGTTGCCTTGGCTCGCTAACGCGAGACCTTTTTATCTTTCGTTCTCTCTGGATCCCACGCGTTCTCTTAGCACGTGCGCATGGAATCGTTCTCGAGTCTTGGCGGAGCACCACCATCTTCCACTCGCCTGAGGGTGGACCGAAGCCTGGGAGAGGGACCGCCTCCGGACAAGGATGGGCTCCTCCACCATTGGGCCAGGGATGATCTTCACCGCCAAGCTCAGAACGATTCAAAGCTTCAACCCGTCTAGATTTTGAAAAGGAAATAATAAAGTATTTATCAAAAAATATCTTTTAAACGCAAAGTGATTTCATTTATTAAACGCCGCGCCGCGAGGAAAGCGCTTCAGCGCTTCACGGGCACCTTACCCACGTTCGGCATATTATAAAGAAAATCCCTAGAACATTAAATCCACACGCAACACACTACATAATATTTTTCTATCTAATTTTCTCCTTACTGTATATTGTACATTGTATCGAAATTCATATATTAAGTATCGATACTGCAATATATGTTCATGTTAAATATCGATATAAAATATCGACATTTGAACAGAAAAATATCGATACTGCATCGCCCATCACCCCATCACTAATGTCCAGTTTTCTTGTATCTGTAGTCACCACAGTAACCTTACCTATATTAAAAGTAGTTGTTACATATTTTTTAAATAATTATGTTCTCATAAAAAGAAATAAAATTTAATTAACAACTAAATATAACTGTTAATAAGTGCATAGTTTGTATTATTATTGTTATATTTGACATAAAATAGTAAGTACTTCATTTCATATGAAAAATATGTTTATTATGAATTTATTGTTAATATCCTTATCTGGTTAAAATTAATTCGTTGAATTCGCATACTTAATTTTGTAAAATATTTTAAACAATCCTTGAGAAATCCACAATTTTCTCTTAAAAAACATTAATAACAAAAAAATAAACCAGAAATAGCATTGAACTACAAGAAAAGAAAAGCACAATTGATAGTTTTGAAACGTGTCTGCAAATACATTGAACATGTCTGGTATAGCAACATATATTGTTTGGATGAAATTGAATTTTAAATAGAATTTTCAAAAACACAATGAAAGACGTGTTTCTTGTTACTGTGGCAGATGATAATGTAACTTTATATATGTAGTAAAGAAAACACTATAAACTGATTAAAGACAAATATTACAATGATAAGATTTTGGCAATGAGTATTCTCCTAAAAAGAAATGTCACTTCAAAAATTGTAAGAACATAAAATTATAAAAAATGCATTAGATGTGAACAATGCACAATAAACAAAACTTGTTTCAAATATTCAGGAAATAATTAGAATTGTTACTTTAATGAATTTAATCCTGAATATAATTCAATAAATAAATTTTCAAAAAGTTTAGAGTATATTTAAAAATTTATCCTAGAAGCAAAATATATACAAAATATACACTTTATCAAAAGTATACATTAATATTTATATATGGAAATAGATTTCCTTATATGTTTGTGTTATTTAAACAGACTATCCATATAAGGTTTAAATACATGTATATATAACTTGATATAACTTAGCAGTTAAATATATTTTCATTAATACTTTTATGTAGTTTAAAATGCAAAGAGAAGAAAAACAACTGGATTCAGCTCTGGAAGCTATTATTATGAAAGTAAATGACTTAAAAACAGCCATTGCTGCAATGATTTACAAATTGGAACATGAGTATGAAACTTTAAATTGGCCTAACTTCCTTGATAATTTTGCACTTATTTCAGGCCATGTAAGTAACATATGACATAGTACATGTAATAATAATTTTTTTCTTAATTATTCTTCCTTAAATATTGAATAATGTTAAAATATTATTGTAGATAAGTACTATTTGTTATATCAAATGTACTGATTAATACTTGTTTTATATTTTTTTTAAATTGAATTAAAAATGAATTAAAATAAATATTTTAAAAAAGTTTACCCTCATTAAAATAAGTAATGTCGTTTAAAACAACATTTTTTATAGTTAACTAGTCTTTCAAAAATCCTTGGACATGATAAAGCACCAAACTTAAGAAATCTGACAGTTTTACCATTACGATTAAGTCCAGAAAAAGATGAAGATCTACTTCGTTTAACTGAAAATAGAATTTCTACATTTGCTCATGATTTAGTACCAGATTATCTACGAACCAAAGTAGAGCCTCAAGCTGAACAAAAGATGATGCAGCTTGAAGCAAAAGCTGCGAATCTAAATTACGAAACTTCACACGTAAGAAAAAATATTTTTATTTACATTCAATATTCTTATCAAAATTTTTTATGAAATATTTACATAAATTTCACTTCTTAAGATAACGTAATTCAACATTTATAAACTATTTATATTGATTTTGAAGAATATTTGAAAATACAGATAAAATTGTATCTTTGTATTATTTTTTATCGTAGAAGCTTAAGGATAACTCAAAGTATTTTATTTCTTTTTTAATGTGCTAACTAAACAACAACTAGGACTGCAATGTAAGCTACTATCGGCTAGCTTTCAAGTTTTGTTAGTTCCATTCGCTTTGGACTGAAATCAAAAGAAATAGTTACAAGTATACATGAAATTGATACTTTAAGAATATTTCATAAGAATATACTTTATGTTTGCAGCCTTAGATTTACAAAACAAGTATTTTTATTTTATAATACCATCAGTGTTATTATACATTTTTAATTATTTAAAAAATTTCTTTTCAATGCTATATAATTAGTGTTTTATAATGCCTTATTTTTCAATTAATATTTGACTCTTAGAGGAAGTAGTTGCTGCGTTTTGAATGATTGATTTACAAATTTTAATTAACTTTCTGTGTTTGATATTTATATACAAAGATAATAAACGGTTACATAAACCAATTACATATAAAGTATTATCTTTTTAAGTGGTACGAAGTAAGGTTCGTTTCTTGCCCGTTGGAGAAGGATGTAATCGGTAAACACTCATATTTTGAAACCGTCCTAATATAGTTGAAATACAATTGTGAATCATACAATGTTTTGGAACAATATTTCATGCCTAAAGTGGTACGTTAATTTTTGACAATGATACAAAGGGTCTGTATACGAATGGAGCATCTCCCTAATAACTACAGCCAGAGAGAGACCCCATCTATTAATGGGCCGTAGGATTGTCCATTCTTCACCCCCAAAGCTGCAGACCTGTCATTACTTTATGTTTGGAAGAAGCACCTCGATTACTCTAAAAGAGCTTACAGCTCCATGGGGTCAGTGTCAACTGCTGGACCTAACGTTTCATATATTTGACCGCAGCTTTAAAGCTTCTTGTGAACAAGCCTTGCCTATGAGAATGAGTTGCTGAGGATTAATTTTAATAAGTTATTGAAAAATAGTAATCTTGCTCCTTAAAAAGGCAATATTTTATTACACAAGTGCATGTGTATATAACAACAAACTTTTAGTTACAATTTATTAAATATAATTTTCCTCTAATAGTTTAAAATGTTATAGAAAGTAAAATGTATAATCGGTCCATTTAGCGAGTGGAACGCTAAATGCCTTGATTTCTAAAATGTGTATGCACTTTATAATTTTCAGAAACAAGTGACACAATACACAAAGGTTATTAGTCATGTATGGGATATAGCAAATAAAGCAAGAGAAGAATGGGAAAGTGAATCTGGATCTAGAGCCGCACAAGCACAAACTAGTAGTACAGCGGATACTCATGCTCTTGTAGCAGCTGTGGGCGTTGGTAAAAGTTTAAAGGTAAATGATCATGTAGACAAATTTTTTGCATTCAAATTTTTCAAAAGTGCCCTTGAGCCGATTTTATCCGGTAATGCACGATTCAATTGCTTATATTAGTAAAACCATTATTTTCAATTTTCATCAGACTTTTTGGTAGGGTGTACCGTATTTAAAAAAATCAAAATCGATATTTTTGACATATTTCGTGCGATAAAATGAGAAATACTTTCAATTTTTACACTTCCTTTACACATTTAGTGTATTATGTGATTTCTAATATTTCTACACTGGATAGAGCAAGATTTGAATGGAGAAAGTTTCTTTGCAATCTGTTCATTGAGACGTAAATTGAGAACTCGTATCTGGGGATTTTTCTGGGTTTTGTCGGTAAAGTTTTCAACGCTTGCATCGCCTTAAATGTTTAAGTATCTGAATTTCAAAATTTCAAAATTCAAATCAAAAGATTTAAAAATGTCAAAGGCTAAATTTCCGAATATATGTTACACTCAGTTTAGCTGCAAGTTTACAAATATGTAGCTTTATTTTACATAAAGTGACACGCACCATCTACGCATGCGGGTAATAAGAACTTCCATGCTCGATATTGTGTGTGTTTATGTAAGTACATACATACACAAACATAACATTATTGTAATATATTTTGCATTTTACTTTTTACAGTCTGATTCGGTTCCAATGGTTCAGTCTGGTGTAAATTCTGTGTCGAGTGGAATGATGGTAGGTAGGCCCGGAAACCAACAACAAAGTTCAGGACAAGGAACTATGGGAAATTCATCCAGTAAGATTTTACAATATCTTACCACAAAAATATATATTTGCAATAGTAATGAATATATTTGATTTATTTCTAGTGGGACAAATGAGTAAAGCTCCAAGTACAATTAAAACTAATATTAAAGCAGCCTCACAAATTCATCCATATAGGTAAAATATGAACCATTTTTAGCAACATTCTATACTCTTACGTAATACGTTTCAAATTGAGAAAAATGATTTTTACTTTTTTTTATAAAATTACATAAACTACTATTAAAGTAATTTTATTTATGTCGCGTAAAAATTTGATACTTACAACATGTAAATTCAAGTTTCTCAAAGATACTAATTTATAACGTTTATTATCTTTTTTGTGATACAATTGCATATGACCGTGGAGATAAATGTTTATTCATAACTGGAATAATTGTTGCTTTTAAACCTTGTTCTTCCATCCAACATAATCGATCTTGTAAAATAAACGATTCCGCTGCCGCTTGTAACATTAATTGTAAACCGCTATAAATTTCTACAATTTTCAATTTATCACAATGGCTTTTCCACAGCTTTACTATATTTTTCTCATGTATATCCGGAGTAGATTGTACATCTGAAAAATATTAATCTATTGTCTTTATGTCATTTTATGTATTGCCATTTTGTGAAGATCTTATAGCTATTTCATTTGTAACAAGTATATGAATATTTTTATGTAAAACAAAGCATGTAAAACTAGATAATGTGTAAGATTGTAGGGTTCTTCGACGATATAGGGGTAGAGTTGCCGGACGAAGGCTTCAATAAAAGGCCATGTAACTTCACATTATGTACGTCATATAGAGCTACATATACAGGGTGTCCCAAAACTAGGTCGGATTCCCTGCAGGGATGATTGCTGAGGTAATTCTGAACAACTTTTTCCTTTGCCAAAATGTTGGTTAAGGCTTCGTTTTTGAATTGTTAACGAAAAACACTGTCCAATTAGAGCCCGCGTAGAGCGCGGGCTAAACCACGAGTGTTGGCCATTGACTACGTTCGAACGGTGGTCATGAACAAGCGCGGCGACACTACATCGGCACAATCTGCGGTTTCGTTTTCGAGATATAAATAATTAAAAATTGCAATATCAACTTCCGAAGCGCGTAATTCGCTTTCAAACAGCTGATAGCAGAGTAGGTAGCCCATTCTTTAGTGTCCGGGATCAGCGTCCGGTTAAAAAGAAACACGTGTAAACACATCTGCCTAGTCTTGAGGACAACGATCCATTTATAATTTTAAAGTACTCAATTAGTTAATGTTTTTTAGTGTTTTTCGTTAATAATTCAAAAGCGGAGCTTCAACCAACATTTTGGTAAAGGAAAAAGTTGTTCAGAATCACCCCAGCAGCCCCCCATTTCCGGCAGTACCGGGAGTTACGTGACACCCTGTATATGTACACTACCCAAAATTATACAGATTTTTATAGAAAATATTTAAATTATAAAAAATTATAAGTATAAATTTATCAAATGTTTTACAGATATACATGTACAATACTATTGTTTTGTAATACAGTATCTTGTAAACTGTCAGAAACCTATATTATGTATTATACGTATTTACATACCTATATTACCTTGTTCTTTCCTTCCTTTGGAGGGTTGTAAAATATATCTGTTTAACGAATCCTTAACATAAGATTCAAAATTTAAACACTGCGATTTTCTTGTTCCTTTTTGAGTTTGCTTCATAAGGGAAAAACCATCTAAAATATTTTATTTTTTATTTTTTTAGACTAAATTTAACACGATATTGAATAAATACTATTAAAAGTCGAAAGTTTATACATACTTTCAGCTGCATATAACTGAAGAACAGCCCTTGCAAGAACATAAAAGGAATGTTCATTGTGAGTTTTTACAGACATGTTACACCATCTGTCCGCTGGTTCTTGACATGCTAATCGTAAAAATGGTTGTCTTAAGAAGAAACCAGTATCAAAATCAGAATTATTGATTACAGTTTTAAGGCAATTAGATAAAGGAAAGTTGTTAAAATACTGTTTTTTAATCAATGAATCTGTTTGCATACTTATTGATATTGAAAGTTTATGATAACAGCATGAAACCATAATGAAGATACGTGCTACTTGCATCTTATAAAATATTTTTATTGCATCTATACTTAGATCTCCACATGCATGTAAACCAATTAAACAAACATCTGACTTTTCTTCAAATTCATTATATAAGATGGTTTCTATTGTTTCTGCAGAAGCACATGTTAAATTACAACAACTATATCTGACATGTGCTAATGAATTAGGGTACATCTTTGCTTGTCTATCTTGAGCATTATTTATAATTGCTTGATTTTTTTCTAATCCAAGTACTTTATAACCATATAAATTATGTAACAACTGACAGATATATCCCTGTAATAAATACATGTTAAAAATATTTCAATTTTATTAGCAGTATTTATAAACATTTCTTACCAAACCTGCACCAAGATCAACAATAACTTTAATGTTTTGCGATGTACACTGCATATGTATCAAATGGGCTAAATTCATTATTTCGTGTTGCTTTTTACAACTGAGTCCTATTTGAAAGCTTTTTGGTAATTTAGCTTCTACTATATTATTTATAGTTGGTAATTGATCTATGTACCTACATTTTTCAACAAAGAGTTTTAAAGTCTCAGACCACTCAGGCTAAAATATAATATTTTAATACTGTTAAAATACTTTTATTCCAAGTTATAATTAACTAATTATTGTTGTTTCACTTATGAATTATTTAAATACCTGGTTTACCAACCTTTATTCTTTTGCTTACAACAAAATCATTAAGTTCTTCATTTTCTAAAATTTGTAATGCATGCAACCATTTTTTTGGAAATAAATCAAGTACGCCACTTGTTAGTAAGTCGGTGACTGGAATATTGTAAAGCCATTGTGTTTCATGAAATAACTTTAATGCATCCAGAAAATATATAGCCCTTACGTTTTTAGTTACACGTGCCATCTAACATTACAGAAAATACGGGTAAACTTTACTTTACCGGACCCAAAATTTTGGACCTTTTTTTTTTTGAATCTATAGTTTTTGATGCGTAGAATCTGAAAATGCAAGTCTCAACTTTAGGAATTCAGTGGTTAAAAAGTTATAAGCGTGTAAAGTTTGACATTTTTAGCGGATTTGCTTCGTTACTGTGACGCCATATTGCCTTAGATGTATAACCTGATTGGTCCTCGCATAGCGTAGAACTAAACTTCTGCTTACCTTAATTAAAAACATATTGTTTCCGAATCGCTTTCATCATTGATCCCATGAGGTCTACGTTGTGACGGCAAAACCGTCGCCACAGATATTCGCATAAGCGATCGGCAAATTCCTCATCGTGAAAACGACCCCTCCCCCTCATCCAGTCCTTCGCCGGCCGCCAATTTGACTCTATTTGCTGGGTATGAGTCCCATCACTAGCTGTATTTAAATTATTCATAAAATTGAATTCTCTCTCTCTCTTTAAAAAAATATACACCTAACTAACTCAGACAGTATCAAATTTACCCGCCAAAGTAGTCGGCACCCACGTGAATCTGCCTACAGCTAGCGACACCGTACATTGGACAAGAAGTCAATATGGCGTCCCAGTAACGTAACAAATCCGCTAAGAATGTCAAACTTTACACGCTTATAACTTTTTAACCACTGAATTCCTAAAGTTGAGACTTGCATTTTTGGATTCTCTGCATCAAAAACTATAGATTCAAAAAAAAAAAGTCCAAAATTTTGGGTCCGGTAAAGTAAAGTTCACCCGAAAATACATTTTACGAAGCATTGTTGTTTTCCAAAATATTGGCGAGTGATTGTGATTGCTCACAAGTAATCAAGATGATGACCAAAATATCAAAGTTCGTTTACTAACTTCAAATAAAAGAAAATTTAGCAAAAAAAAAACAATAACGATTATTAAACTTTGTATTCTATTTCACAATAGTTTTTAATGGCTGAATAGGTCAGTATTGTTTATTTCACGAGAGAATAGTATCATTTCACGCAGCTCGACTAAACTACACTAAACTCGGAAAGTTCCTCCACTAGCAGCGCTATCCTGCCATGATTTGTTTTCCACTGCATCGGCCATATACACTGGCACAGCCGACTCCAGTACTAGCCATGCTGAACAACGTCGCAACACCGCTCACGTAACAATCGGGAGTCCTATTTTCAAAAACAGAGTCCTGTGCTCGGAATTGTAATTAACGTCTTTTTTAATTAAAAGCTGTAGTAATATACACTATTTTGTGTTAATTATGTATAAACAATATATAAACGTTGCAACTATGGCAAATAGAAGTGATGTGGTAGTATAAAATTGTTATAAATGTGATATATATTTTGTGTACTCTCAAAGTAGTTTGGTGTTGTGAAGCATGATATTTGAAATATTTACAGTGGTTTCAAGAAAATTTAGGTATGAAGCAAAATGAAACCATCTTTAGATCAAATTGAAACATTTAAGAATTGATAAACGTGTATATAAGTTAATAAAAATCTTGAAACAAGCGAAATTATTGGAACGAAACCAAAGGGGTTATGTGAAGGTCAGAGAGCAGCCGGGAGTCTGACGATGTTGATTGGCTGGGAGTCCGGGAGGCAGATAGGGTAGGGTAGGTGTTGATATATTCAGACCGGACTCCCGCGGTGTTGCCATTTTTACTTCAGCACGGTTAGTACTAGAGTCGGGAGTCTCACGGTAGCAACCGTAGACAACGGACGTACGGAGAAGAGGCACGCGTGATTAGGAAGTTTTTAAGGAGATTTTGGTTTGGGAACTTGAGTTTTCACTAGTGCTTTTTTAGGGGGTTTTTCCTACATAAAAGTGTTTCCTCTTGGGTCGCTTATTCCTTGGAAGGCGAACCCAAGAGAGAATAGTGAACAAGGAGGGTGCGGTCTCTCCCTGCGACAAGACTGTGTCGCAGGGAGGAGATGTTGGGACAAGAAGTGTTGGAAAGGTAAGGAAGGAGAGTATAGAAAAGAAGAAAAGGAGCAAAAGTGAAGGGGAAAAAATTGGAAAATTGGAAAAAAAAACGGAAGATTTCAATCTAAGCATGATTGAATTCGAGGCAGAATATCTGGAAGAGGATCCCGAGGCTAGGGAATTTTTTGAAACTCTCAACAGAAGTAGAAAACCGTTGAAGGATACCAACCTCAAGGATGAAGAAGTTGGTGGCCCAAGCATGATAGTGGAAGAAAACAAAGAGAAGAGTAGGGAATTTGTAGCCCCCCCTAGTGAGGTGGCTATGGAGCAAGGAAAGGGTGGTACCCCTGGGAAAAAGAAGGGGAACAAGAAGAAGGAGTTTACAGATCATTCTTTGAAGAGTACGGCTAATGTAAGGATAGGATTGGAAGAGCTTAGAAAAGTAAGGAAAAGAGCGGCTGAAGAAGAGACGGAGATCAACGAGGAAGGTTCAAAAAGGGATAAAAAAGAAGGTGAAGAGCCCGTAGTGGACAATAGTCCCCTCGCAGGCGTAAAACGAGCAACCACACCGGTCCGGCAAGTTGGGACGCCATTGAAAGACAAGATGGAAGGTGAGATTATTGAAGGAATAGCGGAAAAGGACGCTATACCCCTAGGAAGAAAAATAAATAGAAGAAGAGTGCGAGGTGAGAGCAATCAATTTTACGTCGAAGAGCTGAGAAGTAAAGAATATATGATTACAATGGTGCTGGGGAGGGAGGGTACAAGCAAGTTTAAAAGAAATAATATAGTTAAGATCTATAAAATGCTTGGAGCTCGGTTACGCTTCCTTCGGGGGCTTAAAATGGTGGGCTTTAATAAAGCGGAAATTACTTTTAGCGACATGGCGGCCGCAAACGCCATCCTCAAAATGGCGGAGCAGGAGGGAGCAGGTTTCGAGGCCTTCCTCCCAGGACGGAAGAAAACGAGAAAAGGCGTAATCACTGAATGGGAGGACTCAATAGAACATTTAGAGGACTTCATAATGTCTGGGCAAGGCGAGTTTAAATTTGAGAGGATGAAGAAGAAGGTAGTTAAGGACGATAAAAGCGCTTGGACTGAGGGGGTTGCGATACTAGTTACTGTGAAAGGGGACCGATTGCCAACGGACTTGAAGATTGGTGCGGGTCATGTGGCTCTACGTATTTTTCCATACGTAGAGCAGGTAAAGCAATGCTATAAGTGCTTCGCTTATGGTCATGTGCAAATGCATTGCAGAAGCTTAAAAAAGTGTCTAGTGTGCTTGGGAAGGGAGCATGGTGCGTGTGACAAGACCCCTGTGTGTCTTAACTGTGGAGGCAACCATACGTCCCTTTCGAAGACCTGTTGGATTCATCAGAGGGAGAAACTAATCAGAAAGGTTATGGCATATAAGAACGTCGCATATGCAACAGCCAAGGGGATAGTTGCAAGTCAGCTGGGAGAGAATTGGGATGAGGAGGACTTGGGAAGGGACGCTGGCAGCAGAGACTATCCCATGCTGCCAACGAGAAGAACGGAGTGGTGGGAGGCAAAGGAGGTGCCCATGGAGGACGAGTTGGAATTGCTGTGGGAAGCAAAGAAGAAGGTGGAAGGAGATAGGGTTGGAATAAGAAGATGGGAAAGCTTCTCCGAGAACGTGAGAAGAAACCAGGCAGGAGGAAGAAGCAGGGGAAGGGGAAGACTAAGGCAGGAAGAGTATGCCGCTGAGGATAGATCACCCCGCACACAAGGGGTAACAGTAAACGTGGCAAATAGATTTGATTCCCTACAGCAGGAAGAAGTGGAGACTGCTCAGGAGGAAGCGGAGTATGTGTTTGGGGAGGGGCTCCCGGTAGAACGCGCCATCAAGAGGATGAGTAAGATGGAGCAACGTGCCCAAGAAAGGATTATTGGGCAACTAGAAAAGAAAAGGGATGAAGAGTTCTTGTCAGATTTGATGAAGTTAATAAAGGAAAAGGGGTATGAGCAGGAAGTTGAAAGAATGTTAAATGACAATAAAAGAGAGGACCAGAGGACGGAGGATGAGGAATATGCGTATTGGAATACGACCAGACATAGGCCCAATTGGGATATTCCCATCCCGGAGAAGACAAGGGAAAAGTTGAGAAGAAGGAAAGAAAAATATGAAGCACAGAAAGCGGCAAAGGAGGCGCAAGAACAAGTACTGGAGGATATAGCTGTCCGAGCCCACCAACAGTATGGATGGACTAAAGAAAGAGCAAATCAGGAAGATGATTATAGAAGAGGAAGGTTAGAAGACCTTATGAGAAGAATCGAGGGGCGAGTGAGTGGAAATAGAGAGACCTTTAATGATGATCAAAGATATGGACAGTAAGGAAGGGATGAGTGTGGGTTGTGTAGGTATGCGAGACTTTGAGGTGAAAGCCATGCGCGGCTTAGGTTTATCCGTAGATATAGATATGTTATTAATAATTAGAGTAGTTTCGTTCATAATAACTATATCTTATAAAAGGTATTTTTTTCTATGGTATTGTGATTGGTTGTTACTGAGCGCACGTGACTTAGGTTGTGTGTCGCGCTGGGATGAGTGGGTGTATGGATCGAATCTCTCGACCAGGGTTGCGTTTACAGGTGAAAGAAGATTAAGTATGGAAGAAAACCAAGAATGGGTTAAGTATTGTAAGAAAAGCAGGCTGGGTGAAGAAGAGGCTTCGCCTCGGATAACGTGGTGTGATCAAATAGAAATGTCACGGAAAGGTATTGATAGTTTATATAACTTAAATGATGTTATGTATTTGAGAATACGAGCCTCCTATGGGGGACGTAGAGTTGGTGAGGGGAAATTTCATGTTAAATGTAGACAATGTGATGTGGTTTTTAATCATTAAAAGCTTAAAAAGATTAAAAGCGTATTTTCTTGTAGGTTTCTGATTCTTTCTTACTGCCCCCCCTGTTGCAAAGCTGGGAGGGAAGGTTGGATAAAGCGTGAAGGAGGAGAGGAAAAACCTGGAAAGGTAGTTTTTAAGAAAAGGAAGAGAGGGGTTAAAACCGGGCCAAATAGCTAATTCAACTCTCAAGGGTAAGTTTTGTCTGGAAACTTGGAATGCTAGAAGTGTCAGGGGGAAACTAAGCGAGATCAAAGAGAACATAAAAAACTTCGATATCCTAGGGATAACAGAAACATGGCTGAAAAAGAAAGATAGATTTGTGATTCCGGGATATAACATAGTTAGGGGAGATTTGAAAGAGGACAGGCAGGGTGGGGGTTTGGCGTTTGTAGTGGAAGAAAGTGTAAAGTTTGTGATAAGAAAGGATGTAACTTGGAGGGGTACGGGAAGGGAAATTTTAGGGATCTCGGTAGAAACTAAGAAGGGTATATGGGATATTCTACTGGTCTATAGAAGGCCAGGAGAGAAGTGGAAAAGGAAAGATTGGGTCAAACTATTTAAAAATAAAAGACCCAATGTCGAAACAATTGTAACGGGTGATTTTAACGCTAGAAGTAAAACATGGAATTGTCACGTTGATAGCAAAGAAGGTACTTTATTGGAAGAGGTTATTAGGGACTATGATATGTTCGTTATTAATACAAGTACTAGCTCAAGGTTGGGAACGGGGGGCAGACCGCCGTCGAATATCGACCTCTTTATTGGTTCGCATTACGCGATGGAAAAGGCAACGGTAACGGAAAAAATGAGACCATGGGATCAGACCATCAGGTCTTAGGATTATTGTTCGGGGACGAGGAAGTATATAGGACCACTGAAGTGGGGGGGTCGACTAGAAAGTTTAGGGTAGACAAAATAAATTGGGATGTATTCGTAACAGTATCAGGGGAGGAAGCGAAGGAGTTAATGGGAAACTGGAACGAGGAGGGGTGGGAGAATTTTAATATAGACAATAGATGTAGGGACCTCACGGAGGCAATAATTAATATTATCAGAAAAGCGGGTGGGTCTATATCAGATAGGGTTTCTAATAAAAATGGTGAAAGAAGGAAA